TGCAGTTCTAACTCCTTCTCTCCTTAAAATAATGTAGCTCCCATCCCCCTTTAAAGCAAGTGGCCTAGAAGACTGTAACTGCAGAACGTTATATAGTATTTTATTTCAATAAAAGGCTTATTTCAAAGTGATTAAACACTCACTTTGGCCTATGAAAATCAGAAGGCTTAAATTTATGGTACACCAATTCTTGACATGCAACCTTTGAGATTAAAAAGTGATTAATTTTATTAAAACTGACGTGTGCAGCTTTCTGATATGCTAACACATTGATGAAGGAAGAGAATACCTACATGCTATGTTAATGTTCCCATCATTTTAATATACACGTTAAGCATTTATATTTGTGTGCGGTTTTTCTTTTTGGTTTTTGGAGAGTGGCCTTCTGTCTCATGGTGGCATAATACATACCGATTTGGGTATGTGAGACAGTGCATTAGGGCTATTGATAAATGCGTTTGGTTACTGCACTGTACATGGCTCAACCTGAAACGCTTACTGTGGATGACAATTTATAAATTTATTTTATTTTGGCTCAAAAGGACAGATTTTATTAATACTTTTATTTTACGACTGTTGGTACTAGTAAAAGATCACATACCACCTTTTTCTATAGATTAATGAGCTGCTTCCCAAAAGGTACTATGTGAATGGCCTGAAATGTAAGTCAATAGTGTACCGTATTGGAAATGATGATCCTGGTAGTTAGAAGCTGTCTGTTACCTGAGGTACTGCATACACAAAAGCAGCTTTTGTCTTTCATAACTCACTGTTTTCTGTTACAAGGATAGTTCTGTTTGTATGAAAAGCGGAGGTCTATTCTATTGACTTTTATTTCATGACTTGACTGACTTCTTCTAAATAAATGCTATGGAAAGAAAAACTATACTTAAAAATGGTTTTAGAGCTGCCTGTGTAGTATTGGTAGGTTTCTGTATGTGAAATAGCACTTAACAAATAAATACATAAATAAATAAGCAACCCTCAAATACCTCTCTGAAGTGCTGATCAGAGAGGCTCTGTGGTTGATGAGTATGTTGAGAACTAAGTACATGAGCTCTCCTGTTACCTCTGTCTGGATCAGTCCTGAGCTGAAACTGTGCTTGTGCTTTTGACGCAGGAACGTGGGTCAGGGCTGCGAAGCAGTTCCTCAGCAGCCCGATCCCAGTTGCAGTGACCTGGTTGCTGGGCACTGGTGTGTGGAATTGGGACTGGGGACCTGTGTTCTTTTGCAGAGTGTGACTGAACAAATTCACCTGAACTCATGCATTGAATAAACTGCAGAGCTGAAAGTATGGTGAGGAGTTAAGGCCTCTGTTAGCTCCGTCTAGGGTTCATGGAGCGCGTTGCCTGCCACATCCCTGAAGCATCCTCCTTTGATTAGCTCCCAAGCACTGAGGTCTGTCTTGAAAATGTCAACGTGCAGGAACTGGGCCACTACTGGGGGGAGGGGGCTGGGAAGTCAGACAGCAGCTTACAAAATGTAAATGATACCTACATGGTGGATTTAGATACCGCTCTCTATTGCCTATTAGGCATCAAAATTCCTTGGGAGGGGAGAGGGTAAGTCAGTTACAGCCCGAGTGGCTGTTCCTTATTTGTCATGATAGAATGAAGTGACCTGAGCTCCTCTACCAGCATGTAGGACGTAACCAAGACTTTCTTAAAATAAATATTATTTTTGTTGTAGTTAATGCCTTGTGTATTTACTTCCCTCTCACTTCCTCCCCCCTAACCTATTTAAGAAAATAAAATCTGTCCTACTTGAAGTCACCGACACATTTATTTAATCTGAGGTTCTTTTTCAGGGCAAAATGTGACAGTCTGTAAAGCACAAAACCTTCTGATCATTTTCTTCTAGTAAATACAGTTCTTGTTCTTCCTCTTCTGCTCCCACTTGTGTATTTCAGATCGTTTCTCAGAGAGGTTTGAAAATCTTGGCAATATGAATAATTACAAAAGGATCAGATGAAATGCCAGTTAAGGAAAAGAAGGTTCAACCATCGTGGAAGATCTGCTAGTTCATTGTTGTTCAGGTGTTTTTCCATGCAGCCTCACCCCTGAACTCCATTATTCACCTTTCACTAGGCACAGGTCTGTATACATGAACCAAGCAGAGACTTGGACCTAAAGATTTATAACTTTTCTTGGCTTTGAATTTTTGTTGCTACTTATGAAAATGCAAGAGTTGTGATTTAAGCTATTTTTAGTCTTTAACATCTTAAGACCACCCACTTTTTATTTTGGCTATATGTTTTGTCTTTAGAGGATTAAAAACACTTACAGCAATAATTAACTGACTTGTACGCATATTGATGTGTGGAAGGCAGAGACAATAGAAACAAGAATGAAATCAGGCTGTTCTACTGGAGACTAGCTGTCTCCAGCTCTCAAAAGGTAGGGGCAGCAGCAAAAAGCCTCGACAGGAATTGCAACTATTACTAGTTTCTTCTCTACCCTCTGGCAGGCTCTAACTCAACTACAGAGTACTTTAGGGGAAGTTTGAATCAGAGACAGCAACCACTATTGTCTGATATGGTTTTTTTTCTCCTTTAGGTTTGTGGTCTTATTAAAATGAGGACAATCCTGGGTCTTGTTCTGACCCAATGACTTATTAGGAGCTGGATTAAGTAACTAAAATGAGTGAGGTGACTGTGCTGATATCAATCATCTCCTGTGTTGCCACTGTTGATTTGTGACTGGTTCCTAATTTAAAATTTCTGTGACACGCAAATATTTTGTGAATCTCTTGGCACTTGCCAAGCATTTTCTCTGCGGGAGGCTACCTGGCCTCTGAGCCTGATTACTGTCACAGCTTGCTTGTATTCATCCCTGTCTAAAGGGAGTGACCTCCCACCAGGGTAATAGCTGCTAGGGCATGCTGCAACAGCTGTGCACTCAAAGATAACCATGAGTAATGCTGATCTGACTCTGGTTATGCATTCTGTGAATCCAGTGCCTCATAGTATTCTGAAATTCTTCAAGTAGAGCTTACCTGAAATGGAATAGACTTCAAATATCTGCTACAGATGCAACCCAGGTTTGTGTTATACCCTTTCTTGCTGAGCATACTGCTCCTCTGCCCTCCTTTATGGTAGGCTGAGAAACTCATATTGTTTCCCCTCAAGGGCCAGATTTCCGTCACCAGTTTCTGAACACATTCTCACTGAAAGCTTTCTCCTGCGCTAGGGCAGACAAAGTGCAATCATACCATTCTGTACAACATAACTGGGATTTTATCACTTGACTCAAATGCAAGCAGGTGCTAGCACTAACAGCAGGAACTGCTCAGATCTTTCAGTGCTTTACTTAGCTCCTTTCCTCTTCTGATGTATAGAGTTCAGATTTTTCATGCAGGAGACCATGGAGTAGGCCTATCAGCACGCAAGTTGCAAAATGAGGCTACAGTCACCGTACACCAAACAGACCTATGGTACATGGATTTATTGCTTATTCTACCAAGGGGAAAATGGAACTGAAGGACTTAGTGTAGAGTTAATATAACACTTCTGTACTGTGTTCACACTGAAGGATTGAAAAAATTATGATCTTGATGATAAACCTTGGAGCCAATGCCTCCACTGCTGCAGTAAAAAAGGCTGAACAACCTTTAATATAATAGTCAGCTGGGGGGAAAAAGGCACCTAAGCTCTCTTTTGTCAAGTATAAATTGAATTTAGGGCAGCAACTGAAGGGGCCATACAATATAAACTGCAATAATTGAACCATCTCTAAGGCTGCTAAATTATATTTACTAGAAATTCCAGGTTGCTTCTACTGCCACAACTGGAAATTCTGTATTTAAATTCCAGTGGAGGTGGAATTGCACTGAAAACACAGAACATCACTTTAACTTTGAATGAAAGCCTGGATCTGAAGTGCATGTAGCTCCATTCATTGCTGAATGCCCTCTTGTTTGACACTAAATCTGTCAGAGGGATACTTAGCATTAGGAAGGAATACAGTTATGCTCAAGCGTCCCATGGGACTTGAGTTCAATCAATTATAGTATTTAGGCTACAGTCTAGGACTGTCACATCACCACCATCTGGAAATGCCATTACAACTGGACTTAGCTTTTCAGATGCTGAAAGCTACTGCTCTCCTCTCAAGCAATTCCTTGTGGGCAACTAAGCTACATGATTATTATTATTATTGAGTACCACTGTTAAATTACTCGTACTATTAATGATAGCCTGTGTTTTTAAGTGATGAACAGTAATTCTTTGGAATATAAATAACTAACTGTTAGATGACCTTAAAACAAAAAAAATAGTAAAAACTGATGCTGCAAAGACAGACATGCAGAATCCCAAAGTAGGACTGCTACCACAATTTTGATTCACAGCACCTATGCATTATGAAATAGTTTTTATATACAGAATCATACTACTTTCAATCCAGCTGGGACCGTGGACCAGGATAAATGTATAGAGTGGCTGATTTTAACTGAATGGAGCTCTTAAATGTTTCTCATGGTTAGTGCATTAGGTAAGCAAGGCTTGAAGACAGTTTCCTCCCAAGGCATATTACAGCTACGGAATGCAGTAATGGTAGAACAGCACTACTACATAGCTGTTATGATTTACCTATACTGCACCTTTGTCTTGTTACTGGAACAGTTTCATGTGAAACACTTTAGAAATAAAGGGTAAGCATTATTAGTATGGGAAAATTCAACCCAGATGGCTAATGTTTGCCAAAGTTCTGAAGCTCAGTAGAAAGAGCAGGTCCTGAAAGGGAAAATGGTAATAACATTAACTAGAGATTTTACCAGAATACGTACGGGGCAGAAGCTGGCTTTGAGGGCCTTATGCCTATTCAGAATACAGAAACACATTCTTATTGTGCAGCTGCCCCCCCCACCCGCCCCCAAATCTTAAACGCTGATGGGTGAGTGAACTTTAATTCCCTGTAATGAGCATACACGCTCAAAGACAGATTGGAAATTATTTCTCACTGAAGGAGAGGGAAGAAAAAAAAAAAAAAGCTCACTGGTATCTTGTTTTAATTTTTAATGACTTAATGTAACAAAACCAAGCAACCATGAATGAGAAAATTGTACACACACATTCAGTAATTTCAGACATGTTAGTCTACAACTAACTTGTGTGAATTGACTTCAGTATTTGTTCTCTCCTTACTCTCTCTGTATTCCTGTAAGTTTCACATACAGTGCAGCTCTGAATGAATGCTCAGAGTCAGTGGAAATATTTAGTTACCTTCAGTAGGTAGGCTAAACATGGAAATTATTCAGTAAAAGACTTGCTTATGTTTTCTACCCCTGTTCTAACTTCCTGCATCTCAGTGTTTCTGTCCACTGATCAGGACACCTTGATTATCAGTGTTTTGTTGTTTTTTTTTCCACTGCTAGGAAATCTCTGAGAGTTCACAAGTTTTTCCTTTTGACACAACTGCTTATTTCAAAGGCTGGTATTTGATTCAGATATAAGATTTACAAGATCAAGGTTGTGCAAATTAAATATATAGTCTAATTGTTCAACTTGATAGTGCAAGTACAAAACTAGTAACTAAGTGGACCAAAAAAAGAAAATTTCTTACAGAGAAGGATCTCGTTCAATCCTTAGTATTTCAGAAGGTACTCCTTGGTCAATCTTGTTCAGAAAAAACATTCTGTTTTGTGTTAATAGATTGACACCATCAAGAAAAGGTGTTTATAATTCGTTGTGTTGAAGGCCTTGAGAAATTCTGCTGGATAAGTCTTGCAAGTGCTTCTTTACCTAAGAAAAAACAAAAAAGTCAAATTGTACTAAACAAATGAACAACGCTTAAAAAAAAAAAATCAGTACCTTATATTCAAATTTTCCTGTCAGTGTATGTGATAACATAGAGCTGAGACCAGGGAGATTACAGGTATTTTATAATGAGGTCTATAAAAAGCAGTTATGCTTGTCAAGAAGCACCCTGTGCTAAACAGGTATGCCTTAAATTCCCCCTCCCCTTGGAAACCACTTGACTTGCATGAAGTAATTCAGCAAGTTTGCACAATAGAGCCTATTCCACAGTCCCACAGTAGAAAGGGAAAGGCAGGAACTGTTGTCCTAGGCTCATGGCTACTGAACATCTTAGTCAGAGAGAGATGTAAGGTTCAGGGCCTGAAACACTGCCTGAACTGAATCTGAGTTTATCACAGCCATCTCATAGGCGCAGCAGGGACAGCAGACCACTATTTTGTACGCAGCCAGTTACATCAGGTTTGTGTGGGTAGCACCTTCTGCAGCAAGCCCTCATGGAAGACATAAGCCGCAGAGAAATAGGGGCCCCTCTGGCTTACCCTAAGTGAAGGGTAAATGCTAGAGTTAGATTTGGATGCAGAATAATCACAGCAAAAGCAGAGCTGAGCAACTCAGGTGCAATGATGTGTTAACAAAGCTGCTCCCAGGACCAAAGCTAGCATGTCTACACAGTCCAGCAGTACGTTGTGTAGATTCACTGGCTTCTTTGGTGTAAGCTCAAGCATCTCTGCAAGGCACTGTACTGTACAGCATAGACCTAACCATATGTGCCCCATTCACATGGGAAATAATACTAGTTTTTCCCTTTCACTATTTTCCTTCCTAATTAGATCACCTACAGGGTTAGAGCTTGTTCTGACTATATGACTGAACAGCGCCCAACACAAAGAGAACTTCAATTTTTACTTAAGACTGTAAACGTGAATAATACTTCAACAGCATGAACCATCAACACTGGGAAATCCACACTCTCTCTACTGCTGAGCTAAACTTTAAACATGTATATGTATGTACACTGGTTTTATACAGACCTTATATCCTAGTTCTTTTGTCTTTTCTTCCAGCATGGCATATTTCTCTTTGTTTCTGTTCAGATGATCCTTATCTCCAGTTTCCTCTACATGTTTCAGTTTCTGGTGTGAAATCTCTAATTGTTTCTGGTAGTGATGATGCTTTTCAATCTTTGCTTCAAAGTGCTTCAGCTCCTCCTAAGACAACAAATGCACACAGCTTAACAGTATTCTCTTTCCAAGGCTTCCTTTTTCCCTCTCTCTTTCCTTGCAGGCCATGCCTAATGCTATTTTAATGATTCAGGCACCAAAAGCTTTTTCAGCTCCCTGTTTCTTAAGAATGTCTGGACAATACATTGTCAATACAAGACATCATCACTTAAACATCCAATTTTGAAGGCAAGTGCTGAAAAACAACCCACTGAAGAGACCTCAAGAGGAGAATGCTGACAGCTAAAAGGTATTAGGAGATGATAGCAGCAGGTACCAGAGAAAAGCTTACACAAAATCAGAGGGAAGGAGGGAAACAATTTGTGAGAGGCCTCTTTTCAGAATCAGTTCCTGGATTTTCTGCTCAGGCGTCAGTATTTTCTGGGTTTGCACTCCACTACCTGAAATAGGATGAGTTAACTGACAAACAGAACAAAAAGACCTCTTAATGTAAAATGTCTCAAAGGAAGCAGGCAGACTATCTGCGATGTTCAGGGACATGTTTGAGATGGTCTTTAGATAACCCAGTAAGCTGCAGTAGGAACAGAAGAAACAGTAATGTCTTTATCCACCAAAGCATGTCTTGTTTTGCTGCTTCCAGGTATGTGTCCCCATTCAAGCTCTCTTGTGTCTCAGGGCATGTCCTCAGTGAAGATCACATGGACAGCACAAACCATTACAGCCAGTTATGGCCAATTCTGTGCATTACACTGTGAAAAACCCAAACAAATCTTACAGTCAAACCCCTGTTTGACAGAGCTCACTTAATTTTGGTTTCTAGTGTGTTTCAGTCCAGGTGGCTGACAAATTCTTCTCACTTCAAGACAATAACAATAATTAAAAAAAAAATCCATCATTCTAGTTAAGTCTTCCTCAGTTTTTAAGGGGGAGCTTTTCTGTTTTCAACATTTCTGACAAGAGAATAGTTTCTTTTTGCTATAGAACATCTCAGTCTGTTTTACAATCCACAGTCCATTCAGGACATCTGCTCAGGGTTTTATTGCTCTGATAAATCATTTCAGCTTTTCCTCTGAGATGATGCACCAGCAGAGAGCAGCTTTTACGCCTTTCATTACTTAAACCTTATGAAGGTTGGTGTCATGGTCAGTCAGGAGAAGACATAACTTAAACTACTCAAACAAGGCTCAAATGAATCAGCAAATGACTTTAATTCTCCTTTCATGGAGAGGGGAGCTGTTAAAAGGGGAGCTGTTTCACTGTGACTCTTACTGTCCTATTTTTTTAGGACATCCCAGCATTCACAGTAACAAGACAGGTCTGGTTTGGTGAATGAGAAGCAGGATGGACCTGAAAGCTAAGCTCTGATGTCTAAGCCATACAAACTTCAGTCTCTGCCACAGGCAGTTAAAACTCTCTCGTTACGTTATCTGGACAAGAAGATTAAGGTGTCCCTAGTCACGTCTTGTAAAGTAAAACTGTAAGTACATGCAAGTCCATGAACAAGCCCTGAAGAATTGCTTCTCCAGGCTGTCAAAGCACACTATTCTCACAGTCTACTCTGATAAACAGGCAGAGTCAGATCAATTTTTTTTCCTCAAAGAATACAATTTGAGTTAAATAATAATTAAAAAAACAGTATGAACACCACAGGAAATTTTTCAACAAATTTCAAATTTTTCCCCTAAAAAGGGGTCTTTATCATGGTACTTCTAGGTTGGTTCCATACTGCTCCAACATAGAAAGTTAGCAGCACAAGGGGCAGACAGGAGAGGGAAATTCTTGGGTTTCTAGCATTCACTGCTTCCCAAAGCAGTAACTACATTGGGACATCAGATAAGACGGGGAAACCTGGTACACAAACAAACAAGCAGGGCCCAATCTTTGAAAGATTTAAAACACGCAACAGCTGCTTTCAGAGGTTTCAACACTTTAATTTTGATGAGTATAATGGAACCTTTCATACAACTAGTTATATCTATGTCTGTATATTAGAAAGATTAAGATCCACGCGTATCTTGGTTTTTTTTGTCTGAGGAGCAATAGAAGAGAAGTGGTTGCACTCAGAGTAACATAGGCAGTGTGCTTCTTCACGCTGGAAAATGCCCTTTCCATAAGAAATATTACTGGAATTCTACTTACCCGAAAAGATTCAAGTTCTTTCTCAGTAAAGTTGGCTGATTTGGCCATGTCCCACAAATCAATCACTCTTGGTTCCTCAAATTCTAAACAGACACATATCACTGAATGAAAATCTGGACACAATGTTTTCATGTCTACCTTGTATAGAAGAGGATGCTTTCATACATGCAAACACAAAGAGATGCACTAAACACTACATTACTAGCTGATCTGTTTAGATGAAAAGGGAGGAAAATCCAAGTTCTTAACTGAAAACTTTAGCACCTTAGTAATTCTTTCTTAAAAAGCAAAACAAACCAGGAACTGATTAATGGAGTTGTTTGCCCTGCATATTGTCTCACTCATCTGCCCCTCTGGGTCAGAAGGAATAATATCCCTTCTCAGTTAGGCACGGAAAACAGAACTATCCTCTTTATAGGATGGTTGATCCTATTCCTGCAGCAGACTTTTAGTGCTGGCTTCTAAATACAGCAGTGTTGTGGCTGTATCTCTTCAGCCCTTAGTTGACAGTGTGGCAATACTGTGTACTTAGATTATATTTTATTATTTGCCCCCTGACTTTTTCTATGAAATTGAGTCAAAAAAAGAAGGAAAAAAAAAAAAAGAACAGTATTATCATACCACTAGTTGTGTCATATCCCTGGTGACTGACTTTACGCAAACGCTCAAACCCCTGATTGATGCTTCTTAGCTTGTCTTTGAGCTCTCTGTGTTTGCTGTGCAAGATTTCCTCTTTTACCAGGTTCTCTTCAGATGGGTTGATAACATTCTTGTGAATATCTGTTCAAAGAGAAAAGTTTTACTGATTGTGGGCCAAATCCTGATAGGTTAAAAGCTCTGGAAATCTCACCAACCTGAGGTGAGCAAAAGATGCTCCGTTCTCAGCATCTGAGATTAGTGTAAATAAAGCTCTAATACCACACTCTGAGAAGCAGTAAGTCCTTTTTTAGGTCAATACTAAGTAACATCAATGGCCCTCAATCCTCTGGAGCATGGCAGTACAGAAACACTTTTTAACTCTTACTGGCTCCCCGCAATGATTTTTAAAAGGGAATGTTCTCATTTTCCTAGGTCAGCAATATCCCAATCAAATGGGATGGGAATGGCTGACCAGTCCTGTGCCCTCTTCCCTGGGCATTTCAGGTATAGCTTTTAGCAGACATGAACAAAATAGGACATCAGATGCTGAAATGGCTTCCAGCAGCTATAGCCTGGATGGTACAATGCAGGCATCAAGCTGACTGTGAGCTTTAGAATACTTTAGCTCCAACAAAATTTTAGCTAGGATTAATACAGCAAACTGGATTCAGCCTGTCAATGCTTTAATGCCTTGGGCTGAGAGCCTAAGATTTCAAGCATATGCTCTTGGGCTCCCAGCTGGTGAGATAAAGTCTGCAGCACATAATGTTTTAGGATCTCATCTTGCAGCAGTGACTCTATGCTCACTATTATTTTCCAGCAAACTACAACAGCCATCATTGCTAATTTGATGCTATCTTCCCTGCTTGAAGCACAGACAAGAATCAGAAAACTGAAATGGCAATACTTTCACTAGCTGGCATGATTTTTGCCAGCTAATGCAGAACTAAACCCAGCAGGTATCTGGGAATGTCAGCATCTGCAAGCAGTTCTGAGAGCAATGTAATGGTCAGGCTTTAGGATTTTCAAAGAAACTTGGAAACAATGGAAGCAATAAGTGGAGAAAGAGCTGTACTGATCTGGAAACATCAGGAAAATATTCAGATACCTTCTGTTCTGCTCACGGTCTCTAACAGAATATTGTATTCACGAATCTTTTCTTTGTGATGCTTAAATTCTCGCCAAAGCTTATCCAGCTCCTCATCAGAGAACTTCCCAGAGGTCTTGGCCTGAAAGCAACATAAGCTCATTATGCTTCCCAGGCCAAGCGCTGTTACATGCACTCAACTGCCAATATTTCTTCCCGCTTCCCACCACATTTAGAAAATGATTAAGTCCAACTTTTCCTTAGATCTTTTGTTTTAAGTCTATTTAAATAAGGGCAGGATCTAGACAGTGAAGGATATGGTGGCTTCACTCATGTCAAAAGGAAGTTTGCTTCAAACTTACAAAGCTGGAGTTCCTGTTATTTACCCAGTGAAAAACCTCTGTCATTTATATGCTGTGGGAAACAATCTGATACAGGAATACGGGCCACTGAGCTACATATGCAAGTGCAGGGGGACTGTTTGCATGAATGATGCAGCCTGATATTAAGCACAGTCTTTATTCAAGAAATCTTATTTTCCTGTCAAGTGAAGACTATCGCTGCCATGTACTTACTTTGCAGAGATCTGTTCCTCACTGGACTAGTTCACAGCAATTAGGGAAGCATTGGTCATACAGTTAGAGCACTGCGTGCAGTGACTAACTCTACTTGCTGCAAAACATGATCAAAAGTGAATGTTTGTGGTATATATGCAGCCTCAACCCTTTTTTTGCTTAGGGAATATTTCTAAGTGATGCATTTTACTGTTCCCTAAAACATATGACATCAAGTCCCTTCAAGAGCCTTATCTAGTTACAGTAACATTTTAAAACCCAGCAAATCTTTTTCTCTGCTTTACTACCACTGCACTAGACTGCTCTAAGAATTCTTTGCTTTACTGGCCTACTTGTTTTTAAAAACTTAAATTATTTCATTTTTGCAGACCAAGACTTGGTCAGTTTTTATTGCCCACACAGACAGTTCACTTTCTGTTTTTAAGCACTAGCAAAACCCTGAAAGTTTCACTTGAACACCATGTTTGGTGTGTCCACACTTAACACTCTCCCATTATTTTAAAACATTCTGTGAAATAGTTCTCTTTGACATGTATATTTTTAAAAAGGCCAAAAACAACAATATGAAAAAGAGGAAAACCAACAAAGGTGTACTACCACACAGCCTAAGATTCACAAGCAGGGAAATTATTGGTTCAGTAAGATTTGAGGAAAAAACTCTTTGTCCATAGAGGGCCCAGGATCTCTTCCACACAGAGCAATGTGGGTGTTTTCTTTGTTAAACACAACCTGCCACTTCTAGTGACCTGGATGTAGATGGGATGCGCTTAGCTTGCAATAACCTGATCACAGCAGCTTGGCCAGTACTTGCAGACAGAGCGGTAAAGTTATTCAGTTCCAAGTCAGGGGGCTCTCAGAAGACACAGACAATAAATAGTTCTGTGAATAAACACTGACTTCCCAAACTGCAATTCCAGGAAATCTCACTCACCTTGCTCCACAGTTTTTCCAGTCTTGGATCATCTAGTGCATCGCTGTCTGTACCATCTTTAATGTAGTTGGTATCAACTAGATGAGAGTCCTTCTTTCCATTCATGCCATATTTAGTCATAATGACTGCAGGAACAGGAGAAGATACAAAACCATTAAAACCAACTATGGATGTATCCAAGTTTAGAAGTTGGCTACATTTTTGACTTCCAGAGATGGATTCTGCAGTGTAAAGGCTAATAGTTTAAGATAGAGAGGTCCCGTGCTTAATAACCTCTTTTGAGAACTTCAGGAATGGAAAAATCTGTTAGTCTCCTGCAGCTCCCTGCTGACCTCCAAAGAACTTGAGCATGCTCCCTGCCTTGAAAGACAACCTGTTATTTAATGGTCCTCTCATAAATGCAGACACCTAACCATACACGTCTGATGGAAAGTTTAAACCTCTTCGGCAAAGATATACCTTACCATTTAAGTTGCGTCTAAGTTTGGCTTCTTTCTCTCCATCTTCATCGAGCCCTTCAGCTTTCAGTTTTTTCCAGCTTAGCTCATCCTTTTCTTGTAATTTTAGATCGCTGTGCAACTCTGCCAGTTTCACAGCAGAGAGTTGAAGCTAAGAGAACAGAGAAAGGTTTGTATTCAGTTTTGTAGAGTGACCTCTTGCTGCAGAGTTACTTCAGAGGCCAGCACAGCACATAGAATAGCATTTGTTTTTTTTTTACTGAAGTGGGATACAGCTATGTGAATTTAAGAGCATTACGGTATGAGCCACTGCACAAATAACATCTCTTATCTATGAACACTGCTATGCTGCTAGCATATCAGCGTTAACAGATGGTGACAATGTAGCCTTCTCTCTCAGCTCTTCAACTACTTTGAGAACAGTGAAACTATGTAAGGCTTAAGAGGTTGTGTCTTTCCCTGCAGCTTCTCTAGAAAAAGTAACCTTACTTTAGTTCATTCCTGATGACAAAGAATGTGGGGGGAAAGAAAAAAAAAAGAATTAACTAGTTGTTCCCTGTTCTTTGCTTTGGCTAACAATATGAAGGAAAAAAAAAGATCTAAATGACTGATAGATCAGTTTGCAAATTTTGTGGCATATAGAGAGAAAATAAGAATGGAGAAAACAACTAACGTGCAAGTGGCTAAAGAAGCACTGCTCTAAAATAAGCCAAAACTTTTGAATTTCTTGATTTATAAACAAAGAAATGTAACAAACCATACTAATGCTTCATAACTTCTTCTGTATGTGTTAATAACAAGAAGGTGGGGTGAGGAAAAGCCCAAAGAGGCCATGAAAAAAATTAATAAACTTTAGAGTAATTAAAATCACGGCTAAATTTAAACTTTACAGAACACATTACAACTTCTGATCCCATTAGTATTAAAGCCCAGGAGTCTCCCTATTGTCTTCTTCACCATCTACTTCGGGGAAAACTGTGTTTGATAAAAGCTAAGCACTAAGCAGGAACTAGTTTAGTTAAGATTTTACGTATGTGCTGAAGTCAAGCAAAAATATCAGTGCATGCAGTCAGAAAAACTTCATCATGTACTTATTGCTTTTTTGGAGCAGGATGACCTGGACGGGCAGAGTGTCAGTACAGTGGTCGTACCAAACAACACTGCTTTGCTCTGTAGATTTGTCCCCTGATGCTTCAGAAGGAAGAATGAGTAAAAAGTTTGCTATAAATTGTGAAGGAAATGACTGACCATCTCAGTAGTTCCATATTCTGTTAGCATTCAAGAAGCATGAACTTAATATGCTGTTAGACTGCACAGATACAGAAAAAGAAATCACCAGGAATAATTCAAGTAACAATTAATTCAACTCCTAAACACTGCAAAATCACAATCTTTTAAATGTATGACTTTATCATCAGAGACACACAAATATTATAAGAGATTACACAACTCAGTTTGTCAGAAGTCCTATGTAGATAGCGCGACCTCATAAACACATAGAGCTTTGTGTTTTTTAAAAGCTCCAGAGAAGAATATTAGATCTTCTAAATGGAGAGTTTAGAGATATTTGGTCATTAAAATCAAGCATTTTAATTTTTTAATAAAATCTAATGAACTACATTAAGCTCAGTGTTCTTTAAGGAAAAAAAAATAAAAGAAAAGAAATAAAGATTCTACTCAAATTTCTTCCAATTCCAAGAATATTTCTCTGACTCTCATTTTAATGTAGTATTAAGTTCAAGTAACTATCCTTTTAGACATTAAAAATCCTTTCAAACTGTCTGCCAGAAGCCCCTTGCCGGTCCCATTTATATACCACAAAGGTGACTACATAGGCTAAATAAAAGCATACACTTCAAGAGCTGTTTCCCTTAGAGATTATCTCATGCAGGCCCCAGAATGAGACCAGGTAAAAAAATGTCAATAGGTAAAGGCTCCACATCACTTCGCTGTTAATAACATCAGACATTATGATGACTGACTAGAAGCAGAGATGAAAAGCTAAATTTAATCATTAAATAACAAAGCTCCTAGTTACTCATTCCTTATGCTGCCTGGAAGTTAACATTTAAGATAGATACCTAGTAAAGCTGGAAATGAGCACCAGAAATCTGTCAATGTTTGCTGGTCCAGCTACAATCATTACCTACAGCAGCACAGTCACCTTGCTTCTGCGTAAAGGAGGAAAGCTTCTTTACTACAATTTTTGAAATATAACATACTCTAGACTGTGGAAGCCACGGCTGCTTTGGAGTGGAGAGCAACCCCTGAGAACAGGTGATATGAGAACTACACTAACTGATTATTGGAGATTAGCAGGCCAAACCATGTACCTTGTGAGACTTACATAAATTTGTCATTGGTTCAAACTGTAGAGTCAGGGTCTGTCTAAGAAGAACTCTTCTAGCAAAATCACTCTGGTTACGTTTTTATATAAATCACACACCTATGGAAAGAGATGCCAGAGAAAAATCAAACCCTCCTTCTGGGGAGCAGGAAGGAACTCTGGCTTTCCTGTTCTTGGTTATTCCTAAGTAATGTTTCAGTGCTTGCTGAATGATTGCTCACGAGACCGTGTTGCAATGCTGAATTGCAACATCCGTCTTTGAGTACAACCAAGGAGTTATTTTCAGTACTACTGATTAATGAAAGCCTTCACCACCAGCAAAACTAAGGAAGGATATTAGCAATTCTAACATAAGCTTTAATTTGAGTTTTTCCTCCTGTACTAAATTCTGCCCAGACATACTGAAAAAAATCACTTTCTAAAACGCAGGCTGGCTGTCAGTTTAATTCAGAAGTCAAATCCAGGCGGTGGCAAATTTAGGCCAAGTAGGTGCTGCCTGTCTGAAATCTGGCCCGTGTTTGTGAGTTGCTGTAGCTTAGTTCTTCACCCTGGCAGGTTCACCTCCTTTTTACACTGGTACATGTCGGGGCAAGACTTAGGGTAGGTGATGTGCAACATCTCAAATCTGAATTCCAGATGGTCCAGGTATGGGGGAAGAAAAAAAAAAAAGGTAATATCGTTTTACGGGGAAAAAACAGGAGGAAAGTAACAACACTGCCATCATGGTTCATTTCTAGTCTATCGTTGTGTCTTCTCCACCCGCCAGTTCGTGTCCAGAGGTGCATCCGCACACCCACGCCTGTAATGTCACCCCATCCTTCCCCCAGCGAGGGAAGGGGCGGTTTTGACCGTCTCCTTCGGCGGGCTGCGGGGATGGGTGTAACTACAGAGCCTTCCTGGCTGGTGTTTCGACTAAACCCTATCAGTAATAACCAAGGGTGCTGCCGCTGCTCTTGCCTGGGGTCCTCTGCCCGAGGAGGGATGCCTCGCCTCTAGCTCAACAGCTTAGGCTGGGGAAGGCGCATCCAGGACGAGACCCGGGATCACCTTCCTTTGCCTGAAGGAACCGAGCCCTTCCCAGCCAAC